GGGTTTAAGTTTGGGGTTTCTTGTTTCTTTTTTAAAAATCGATTACTAATTTCTCAAAGTAAGTGGCCATGCTAATGTGGTTAAAGCAGTATATAAAAGCTCTAGGGGTCAGAGCGGAAAGAATAGCGCTCTGCTTTACCTCTAGGCTTAAAGTTCTTAGATACAAATTTGTGAATAAAGAATATACAAATTACTTACTTTCTGCTGTACTTACAGAATAAGGTAGGGGAAGGTGAGAGAAGCTAAAGTCCTAAAACCTATTAATAATCTTTTCAGCCCTCTCAAAGCATGGCTTCTCTATACAGGAAAAAATTTTAGCTGTTTGTCAGTCAAATTAATTCCCTGGAATACAAAGAGAAGCATCTGTATTTTTGTTTTTATTTTTGTTGCTAGGAAGAGAAATACTTGTCCAAAACGTGGGATCACTTGATGAATAATATCTGGAATTAAATCAAGAGAATATTTGACTTAATAGAGAGTGTTTTGGTTTGAAAATAAGATGTTTTTCCTTGAAAGAAATAATCTAGTAGACAATTTATTCATATAATAATTATGTTTTCATTTCCTGACAATGCCATCATTTCAGGGCCTTTCTTTTAAAATTTAAATAGGACCATGGAACCATCACAAATGTGAGGGTTTGGCTAATACTTAGCCCACTACTCAGCCAGAGCACAGTGCCTTTGGCCCAATGTCTTCTTGGGAATGTGTTTTCACAGGCATTAATTGAACAACCTAATTAAGGCACACTCATCCTTCTAGGAGCCAAGTATCAACTTTAAGAAGGAGAAGCAAGTGGTAAGATGGTCACTGCAGCCCAGTGCACATACTATAATCACCACTCCCCATCTTTGAGGGTTATGTGCTCAGAAACACTGCAGAGGAGGAGAATTTGCAGCTGAGAAACAAAATTTCAGTGGAGAAGTGGGGAAGAAGAACCAAAGTTGCAATGAACACATGAAAACTTGTATAAATATTAAGTTCACCAAGAATAATAATGGCGTCTAAAACACTGATGATATTTTACGTATCTTGAATTTGCACAATTGGGCACTATGCTGCTACTTTCTCTTCTCTCTTTCTCTCTCTCCCACACCAGAAAATGCCCAGGTTCTCCCCCCTTGGCAGTATCAGACAGATGTTTATAAATATATTTTGCTTTCTTGCAATAATATTCTCTTCCGATTCCTCTGCTCAAATGTTTAGTCCTAATTTTATGATCTCTGCCTCTGAACTCCTCTCTGGTCTCAGAGACATGGGGTAGCTTATAATCCTTAGGTGAAAAAAACTCTGGGGGGTCTATTTCAACTTACCTAGCAGACCTGGGCAGTTTAGTTCCCAAGACCCAAAGTCAAGGATTATGTCACTTGAGCTCTGCCCGTGATCCCCAGCAGAGCATACACAGGTAGGCTACATGGATACATGGCCTGGCTCCAGTATAGTAAACATGGCCAAAAGTCAGACTAATGACAGTGTACCCTGCCTCAGCTTTCTTCATTGCCTCCCATAGTTGCACCACAGAAAACCTCTACTCCTTCTCTGCTAACCAGTTGGCCCCTCTTTTTAATTCCCAAACCCTGCTCCCCTCTTCTCCCTATCTCCAAGAAAAATGGCTATCAATTTGAGTATACTTCAGTGGAAAAATTTTGAAGTTGCTGAAAATATATATGGAGAGAAGTAAATCTGCTTATGCTGACAATTTACTAAGGGGAATTTGCATTTGGCCGTGTCATCCATATATAAATACCGTGCCCTTGTAATCTGAAAAGCCTGTTATCATGCCCCCTCAGAGGAGTCTGGGTAATGTATGTACTTGGAACATGCTTTGTTAGGAAGAGGAAGAGGACAATAAATGAGACTTTGGGGCTAAGCACAGCCTCTGTGGTCCTCTGTGTACTCTGTGTTCTTATTGTCCACTCAGCAGCGCAGGGATGTCTGAGGGCCCCAGGCCTCAGAGGCGGCATGCTCCAGCCTTATGTATGGAAAGGCTGGGCCTTGGACGGAGGTGGCTGACATATGACCTCTCTTTCCTCACTCACTCAACCAGAACCATGTACCCCGTCAGTGAGAATTTCGGGGTCTAGCTGCCTGCACTCCCACCTCCTGCACTGTTTTGTCTGCCTCTTATCCTCACTGTACAGACTTTCTTCCATATCCTTCAGATAATCTCATTTGATTTTTCCAAGTGAGTGGTATTTGTGTCTGGTCTATGCCTACAATGTGATATTGGCATTTATGAAAATAATAGACATACAAGCACCACATGTCCTGCTTATTATCTTCTCTATTCTCCAACAAACACTATCCTGCCTGTCTTCATGTAATGCCCTTTTGCTCAGCATATGAAGGGTAGCCACCTAGTTTATGAGCACGTGCCATGTTGGAGTTCCAGTTTCTGACCCATGTGGTCCGTGGCCTCAGCTGTCACTTAGCCTTTGTCCAGCTAGCCTGTTTCCCTCTGGGCCCTGCATGAACCTCTTTTCCAGCCAAAGCCCCTTGCCATAGGAAGTGCAGTCACCTGTAGTGTTTCTTAATTTCTCTCTTGGCAGATGAAAAATGAATTTATTCCATCCACCCCACAATTCTCAACTTCATAAATTCCCAGCAGACTTCTTTTTCTGAGCACTGAGCCAGGAGTCCTCTCCTCCCCAAATCTGCACTCTGTAGCATTCATCTCAGCTCTCTTCCCTCTCCCTCCCCATGCTGCTAGCTGCAAGTATACCCTGCAGTAAACCCACCTACCATTTATACTGAAGAGCACAATTATCCTCTTATCCTTTATCCTGTTGATTATTAAATGACTTAAATTATCCATTTATCCTTCCAATGCCACAGGATAACTTCTAAGCAGTCTTAACAAAACATCTCAACAAGGTGAGTTGGTCTCTCCCTGCAGAAGAATTCTGTACTGCTATCCTAAGAAGATAATATTCTCCTCATGTGTGCAGGCTTCTAGAACTTCTTCAGCTAGAATTTTATAACATTTCATAACTCTAAGTGCCTCATCATGCCCAAATTGACCCCTGGGATGTGGGGGGAAGGGAGCAGCTCCTAGAAGAAGAAATGGTGGGGAGGGGAGAGGAAGAAGGAACTGCTTTCTCCTTCCTAGTTCCTCCCAGGACTTAAAACTGAGCACAGGTCTGGAAAACAGTGTGGAGGTTCCTCAAAAAATTAAAAATAGATCTACCCTATGACCCAGCAATAGCACTGCTAGCAATTTACCCAAGGGATACAGGAGTACTGATGCATAGGGGCACTTGTATCCCAATGTTCATAGCAGCACTTTCAACAATAGCCAAATTGTGGAAAGAGCCTAAATGTCCATCAACTGATGAATGGATAAAGAAATTGTGGTTTATATACACAATAGAATACTACTTGGCAATGAGAAAGAATGAAATATGGCCCTTTGTAGCGACATGGATGGAACTGGAGAGTGTGATGCTAAGTGAAATAAGTCATACAGAGAAAGACAGATACCATATGTTTTCACTCTTATGTGGATCCTGAGAAACTTAACAGAAGACCATGGGGGAGGGGAAGAAAAAAAAAACAGTTAGAGAGGGAGGGAGCCAAACCATAAGAGACTCTTAAA